CCCAAAGTGATGGGATTACAGGCGTGAGCCACATGCCTGGCTTGAGTGTATAACTTTTTTCTTTTTTTTTTTTTTTTTTTTGAGGCGAGTCTCCTGTGTCTCCCTGAGTGCGGCTTCTCGCTCCTGCACTCCCCCCGTCCCCCCCCCCCCCCCCCCCCCCCCCCCCCCCATTGATTTAGGCGTTTCCCGGCCAGGATGCCCCCCCCCCCCCCCCCCCATGCTGACAGCTGCCACCGCCTGCAACTTTTTTCTTTTTTTTTTTTTTTTTGAGACAGAGTCTCACTCTGTCGCCCAGGATGGAGTGCAGTGGTGCGATCTCAGCTCACTGCAAGCTCCACCTCCCAGGTTCACGCCATTCTCCTGCCTCAGCCTCCCGAGTAGCTGGGACTACAGGCACCCGCCACCTCGCCCGGCTAATTTTTTTTGTATTTTTTAGTAGAGACGGGGTTTCACCGTGTTAGGCAGGATGGTCTCGATCTCCTGACCTCATGATTCGCCCGCCTCGGCCTCCCAAAGTGCTGGGATTACCATGCCCAGTCTGAATGTATAACTTTTAAAAACAGCCGGGCGCGGTGGCTCAAGCCTGTAATCTCAGCACTTTGGGAGGCCGAGACGGGCGGATCACGAGGTCAGGAGATCGAGACCATCCTGGCTAACACGGTGAAACCCCGTCTCTACTAAAAAAAATACAAAAAACTAGCCGGGCGAGGTGGCGGGCGCCTGTAGTCCCAGCTACTCAGGAGGCGGAGGCAGGAGAATGGCGTGAACCCAGGAGGCGGAGCTTGCAGTGAGCTGAGATCCGGCCACTGCACTCCAGCCTGGGCGACAGAGCGAGACTCCGTCTCAAAAAACAAAAACAAAAACAAAAACAAACAAAAAAAAAACTTTTAAAAACACTAAGTTGTTCTTCATATGAAAAGATAATCAATTATATTGTTAAGGTTTTTACAGAAAAGAGATAAAGTAGTCAGTCCTCTTACCTGGGTATTGTCTGTATAATGAAAATATCTTGGCCACGAACAGATTCTTTTATTTCAACTCTTGTTTCTGAAAAATAAAAATGTTCTAAAGTTTTAAGAAAAGCTCCTATGTGTAAAAAGGAGAAAAAAAAAAAAAAAGCACTTCATGCCAGGCACAGTGGCACATGCCTGTAATCCTAGCACTTTGGGAGGGCCAAGGAAAGGAGATCACTTGAGCACCAGAGTTCAAGAACAGCCTAAGCAACATGACAAAATCCTGTCTCTACAAAAAATACAAGAATTAGCTGGGCATGGTGGCTTACGCCTGTAATCCCAGCACTTTGGGAGGCCAAGGTGGGCGGATCACTTGAGGTCAGGAGTTCGAAACCAGCCTGGTCAACATGGTGAAACCCTGTCTCTACTAAAAATACAAAAATTAGCCGGGCATGGTGGCAGGCGCCTGGAATCCCAGCTATTCAAGAGGCTGAGCAGAAGAACTGCTTGAACCTAGGAGGTGGAGGTTGCAGTGAGCCAAGATTGTGCCATTGCACTCCAACCTGGACAACAGAGCAAGACTCTGTCTCAAAAATAAATAAATAAATACATAAATAAAAAATTTTAAAAATACAAGAATTAGCAAGGGCCAGGCGCAGTGGTTCATGCCTGTAATCCCAGCACTTTGGGAGGCCGAGGTGGGTGGATCACAAGGTCAAGAGTTCTTCAAGACCAGCCTGGCCAATATGGTGAAAAACCATCTCTACTAAAAATACAAAAATTAGCCAGGCGTGGTGGCACGTGACTGTAGTCCCAGCTACTCAGGAGGCTGAGGCAGGAGAATCACTTGAACCCGGGAGGCGGAGGTTGCAGTGAGCCGTAATCGTGCCACTGCACTCCAGTCTGGGCGACAGAGCAAGATTCTATCTCAAAAAAAAAAAATAATTAGCCGGCATGGTGGCAGGTGCCTGTAGTCCCAGTGGGAGGATCACCTGAGCCAGAGAAGGTCGTGGCTGCAGCATGAGCTGAAACTGTGCCACTGCACTCCAGCCTGGGCAACAGAGACCTTGTCTGGGAAAAAAAGAAAGAAAGAAAGCAGAAAAGCAAAGCACTCATGATGCAACAGTTAGATAACATTTGGAGGGAGTAAAGATTAATCTAAACCAACATTTAATCTGGTGCAAAACAATAAATCTCAGAGCAGTATGAAGACGAGGAAGCAAGAACGACCCCCAGACTGACCGCAGTCCGTGCACTGCCACTGCATTCCGCTCCCAGTGCCTGCATCTGGCCGCTTTTGCTGCCACCATGCCCAAGAGAAAGGCTGAAGGGGATGCTAAGGAAGGTGAGGCCAAGGTGAAGGACGAACCACAGAGAAGATCCGCGAGGCTGTCTGCTAAACCTGCTCCTCCAAAGACAGAGCCCAGGCCTAAAGAGGCCGCTGCAAAGAAGGGAGAGAAGGTACCCAAAGGGAAAAAGGGAAAAGCTGACGCTGGCAAGGAGGGGAATGACTCTACACAAAGTGGAGATGCCTGAACAGACCAGGCACCTGCTGGAGATGCCGAGGGAAGTGAGTGCATTTTTGACAACTGTGTACGTCTGGTGACTGTACAGTTTGAAATACTATTTTTTATCAAGTTTTATAAAAATGCAGAATTTTTTTTTTCTAAGCTATGTTGTTAGCACACAGAACACTTCATTGTTGTTTTGGGGGAAGGGGCACATGTCATGAATAGAATGTCTCCGAAGCTGGATTGATGTGGGGAAAGCACCTTTCCCTTCCAGTTTTTTTTTTGTTGTTGTTGTTTTGGTTTTTTTGAGACAGAGTTTTGCTTTTGTTGCCCAGGCTGGAGTGCAATGGCGCGATCTCGGCTCACCGCAGCCTCTGCCTCCCAGCTTCAAGCGATTCTCCTGCCTCGGCCTCCCTAGTAACTGGGATTACAGGCATGTGCCACCATGCCCGGCTAATTTTCTATTTTTAGTAGAGATGGGGTTTCTCCATGTTGGTCAGGCTGGTCTCGAACTCCCGACCTCAGGTGATCCACCCGCCTCGGCCTCCCAAAGTGCTGGGATTACAGGCGTAAGCCACCGCGCCCGGCCCCTTCTAGTTTTGAGACTTCCTCTCGGCTCCCAGGAGGAGGGGTCCCCTGAGTTTGACACACATGGCCACCTCAACACACAAAAGCCTCGTGGTCTGAAAAGACAAATTCGTGTCTATGTCCTCTTCTCCCTTTCCACCTTTCAGCATAGACTTAAATCCCTTAAAGCCAGACACTGCTGGGACCTGACTCCCCATAATTGATTTCCAGTGTGTCAGGCAATCTGCACCTTCCAGTGATGCCACTGACATGGCGCCCCTCAAAAGAGCAGTGGTTCCGTTTCTACACTGTGGATCTTCAGATAAATTCTGCCATTTTCAATTCACTTCCTGAAAGTCAGGGTCAGCTCGTGAAAAGTTGTTAAACATGCTAAATGTTCACTGGGTTTTACAGTGACTTTCTGACTTTTGGTAGTTCATTGAAAAGGGGAGTTTGAAAGTTATTGGGCCAGGCGCAGTGGCTCATGCCTATAATCCCAGCACTTGGGGAGACTGAGGTGGGCGGATCACCTGTGGTCAGGAGTTCAAGACCAACCTGACCAACATGGCGAAACCCTGTCTCTACTAAAAATACAAAAATTAGCCAGGCGTGGCTGCACATGCCTGTAATCCCAGCTGCTCGAGAGGCTAAGGCAGGAGAATTGCTCGAACCTGGGAGGTGGAGACTGCAGTAAGCTGAGATCACGCCACTGCACTCCAGCCCAGGGGACACAGCAAGACTCTATCTCAAAAACAAAAAAAAAAAGAAAGTTATTATATGCTGTTAATGATTGTCTGTCCATGTCCTGCCTGAAATACCATGATTGTATATTGAAAGTATCTTTAAAGGCCGGGCAGTGTGGCTCATGCCTGTAATCCCAGCACTTTGGGAGGCTAAGGAGGGCGGATCACGAGGTCAGGAGATCGAGACCATCCTGGCTGACACGGTGAAACACCGTCTCTACTAAAAATACAAATAAAAACAAAATTAGCTGGGCATGGTGGCGGGTGCCTGTAGTCCCAGCTACTCGGGAGGCTGAAGCAGAAGAATGGCATGAACCCAGGAGGCAGAGCTTGCAGTGAGCTGAGATCGTGCCAATGTACTCCAGCCTGGGTGACAGAGTGAGACTCCATCTCAAAAAAAAAAAAAAAGAAAATATCTTTAAGAAAACTGAGGCCGGGCGCGGTGGCTCAAGCCTGTAATCCCAGCACTTTGGGAGGCCGAGACGGGCGGATCATGAGGTCAGGAGATCGAGACCATCCTGGCTAACCCGGTGAAACCCCGTCTCTACTAAAAAATACAAAAAACTAGCCGGGCGAGGCGGCGGGCGCCTGTAGTCCCAGCTACTCAGGAGGCTGAGGCAGGAGAATGGCGTGAACCCGGGAGACAGAGCTTGCAGTGAGCTGAGATCTGGCCACTGCACTCCAGCCTGGGCGACAGAGTGAGACTCCGTCTCAAAAAAAAAAAAAAAAAAAAAAGAAATACCATGGTGGAAGCTGAGCACAGTGGCTCACGCCTGTAATCCCAGCACTTTGGGAAGCTGGGGCGGGAAGACTGCTTGAGCTCAGGAGTTCAAGACCAGCCTGGCCAACATAGTGAGACCCCATCTTAATAAAAATAAATAAATAAATAAAGGCTGGGCACAGTGGCTCATGCCTGTAATCCCAGTACTTTGAGAGGCCGAGGTGGGCAGATCACCTGAGGTAAGGAGTTCAAGGCCAGCCTGGCCAACATGGTGAAACCCCATCTCTACTAAAAATATAAAAATTAGCCGGGTGTGGTGGCGGGTGTCTGTAAACCCAGCTACTTAGGAGGCTGAGGCAAAAGAATTGCTTGAACCTGGGAGGCGGAGGTTGCAGTGAGCCAAGATCATGCCACTGCACTCCAGCCTTGGCGACACAGTGAGGCTCTGTCTCGAAAAAACTAACTAAATAAAAAATTTTTAAAAAAAGAAATAATTTTAACTTACCTCCATTGGTTTCTTGATATACAACAGACTTCCCCAATTCAGCACCAAGGCGCCTATAGACCAAAAAGAACAAAAAAGGGAAATTAAGATTTCTCTCTCTTTTTTTTTTTTTTTTTTTTTTTTTTGAGACGGAGTCTCGCTCTGTCGCCCAGGCTGGAGTGCAGTGGCGCGATCTCGGCTCACTGCAAGCTCCGCCTCTCGGGTTCACGCCATTCTCCTGCCTCAGCCTCCCGAGTAGCTGGGACTACAGGCGCCCACAACCGCGCCCGGCTAATTTTTTGTATTTTTAGTAGAGACGGGGTTTCACCGTGGTCTCGATCTCCTGACCTTGTGATCCGCCCGCCTCGGCCTCCCAAAGCGCTGGGATTACAGGCGTGAGCCACCGCGCCCGGCCAAGATTTCTCTCTTTAAAAAAATTCCAGTTTATATGCATATGTCTAACAAAAAGACTCAAATAACTAAGCTGGCACTCTTTCCAAAAAATAATTTAGAAAATCTAATTCATTGAACTAAAATTCTGCTGTCACTCCATAAGCAGCTCACCACGTTGTAACATACATACTGCTTTACCAGACGGAGCTCACAACCCATGGTTATGTCTGGTCCATTGTTCTTTGAATAGTAATTTTCTTGGAAAATCACTTCCAAGTACTTGGTTACTAGCAACGATTTCAGTAACACACGCCAGAGATAAATGCCTCAATTATCAAAAGCATAGAGAAACAAAGAGGCTTCAGCACCATTGACCAAATGTGGTGTGGATCTTGTTTGGATCCTGCTTAGAATAAACCAAGTATGAAAACCCATTTTTGGCCAGGCACAGTGGCTCATGCCTGTAATCCCAGCACTTTGGGAGACCGAGGCGGGCGGATAACCTGAGGTCGGGAGTTCGAGACCAGCCTGATCAATATGGAGAAACTCTGTCTCTGCTAAAAATACAGAATCAGCTGGGCCTGGTGGCACATGCCTGTAATCCCAGCTACTAAGGAGGCTGAGGCAGGAGAATTGCTTGAACCTAGGAGGCGGAGGTTGCAGTGAGCTAAGATCATGCCGTGGCACTCCAGCCTGGGCAACAAGAGCGAAACTCCGTCTCAAAAAAAAAAAAAGCCATTTTAAAAAATAATCAGAGAAATATGGACAAAGACTAGATACTACGTAATATTAAGGAATTAATAGTAGTGTGAAGTTTTAAGTCCTGATTAGTAAGCATTACTATTTTTACAAGAGAAATGATATGATGTAAGGGAATCTATTTAAAAATACTCCAGGCCGGGCGCGGTGGCTCACGTCTGTAATCCCAGCACTTTGGGAGGCAGACGGATCACCTGAAGTCAGGAGTTCGAGATCAGCCTGACCAATATAATAAAACCCCATCTTTACAAAAAATAGAAAAATTAGCTGGGTGTGGTGGCGGGCGCCTATAATCCCAGCTACTCAGGAGGCTGAAACAGGAGAACTGCCGGAATCCAGGAGGCAGAGGTTGCAGTGAGCCAAGATCGCACCATCGCACTCCAGCCCGGGCAACAGGAGCGAAACTCCATCTCCAAAAAATAATAATAATAAAAATAAAATAAAAATCTCCAGTCAGGCCAGGCTCAGTGGTTCAATGATTGTAATCCCAGCATTTTGGGAGGCCAAGGTGGGCGGATCACTTGAGGCCCGGAGTTCAAGACCCGCCTGGGCAACATGGAAAAACCCCGTCTCTACCAAAAATACAAAAATTAGCTGAGTGTGGTGGTGAGTGCCTGTAATCCCAGCTACTTGGGAGCTAAGACACGAGAATCACTTGAACTGGGAGGCAGGGACTGCAGTGAGCCAAGATTGTGCCACTGCACTCCAGCCTGGGTGACAAAGCAAGACTCTGCCTCAAAAAAAAAAAAAAAAAAAAAAACTTCAGCCAGGTATACACATACAATGGAATATTATTTGGCCTTAAAAAAAGAATAAATTCTGGTATGTGCTATGATACGAGTGAGCCTTGGGAAACGTATGCTGAGGAAAATAAGCTAGACACAAACAGAGAAATGCTGTATGATTCCTTTTGTATGAAGTCCAGAGAATAGGCAATTCACAGAGACAAAGTAGAACAGAGGCTACCAGGGAATGCGGGGAGGGGAGAATGGGGAGTTAGTATTTAATGGGTACAGAGTTTCTGTTTGGGATGATGAAAAGTTCTGGAAATGAATAGTGGTGATGGTTGTGCAACACTGTGAATGTAGTTAATGCCACTGAAGTGTACACTTGAAAATGGTTAAAAAGGTAGGCCAGGCGCAGTGGCTCATGTCTCTAATCCCAGCACTTCAGGAGGCCAAGGTAGGTGGATCACCTGAGGTTGGGAGTTCGAGACCAGCCTGACTAACACAGAGAAACCCTATCTCTACTAAAAATACAAAATTAGCCAGGTGTGGTGGCGCATGCCTGTAATCCCAGTTACTTGGGAGGCTGAAGCAGGAGAATCACTTGTAACTCAGGAGGCAGAGATTGTGGGTAAGCCAAGACGGCGCCATTGCACTCCAGTCTGGGCAACAAGAGCAAAACTCCGTCTCAAAAAAAAAAAAACAGTAAACTTTATGTTATGTATATAACAATTTTTAAAAATACTCCAGGCCAGGCACAGTGGCTCATGCCTGTAATCCCAGCACTTTGGGAGGCCAAGGCGGGCGGATCACGAGGTCAAGAGATCGAGACCATCCTGGCCAACACGGTGAAACCCTATCTCCATTAAAAATACAAAAAAAAAAAAAATTAGCTGGACGTAATAGCACACGCCTGTAGTGCCAGCTACTTGAGAGGCTGAGGCTGAGGCAAAAGAATCGCTTGAACCCGGGAGGTGGAGGCTGCAGTGAGCTGAGATCACGCCACTGCAATCCAGCTTGGCGACAGAGGGAGACTCTTCTCAAAAACAAACAATACTCCAGCATCTCCCCCACCTCAAAAAAAAGCATGATAGAGACAAGATTACCAAAAAGTTGCTAAGTGTGGAAGCTGGATTAAGGATACCAGGTTGGGGCGGGGCAGGTAACAAAATACATGTAACTTTCACATATCCTGGGAAGGTCATGTATCTAACTATTTTATTGATTAAAGTTCACAATCAAAAAAGTTTGAAGATCCTTGCTTGAAGTTTAGACAGTCTGAAAGAAATCATGGAAATACAATATCATAACTTCAGGGGTTAAGTAATCTACTGATCAAACTTTGTTCAGGGGCAAACAACCTTCTTGTAAAATAAAATCTTACTGGCCGCGCATAGTGGCTCATGCCTATAATCCCAGATCGCCTGAGGTCAGGAGTTTGAGACCAGCCTGGCCAACAAGATGAAACCAACCGGTCTCTACTAAAAATACGAAAATTAGCCACGTGTGCTGTCGGCACCTGTAATCCCAGCTACTTGGGAGGCTGAGGCAGGAGAATCGCTGGAACTTGGGAGGTGGAGGTTGCACTGAGCCAAGATGGCACCACTGCACTCCAGCCTGGGTGACACAGCAAGATTGTCTCAAAATAAATAAAACAGATAAAATAAGGGAAGTATTTATGAATATGTCTCATTGATAGTAATTCAAAACCTTTCTGGAATTTGCCAGGAAATAATCTAAAACAAAAAAAAAAACCCTCACTGACTTTTAAAATGTGCCCTGCTCCCCTCTGCTCTCCCTCAAGGTCAGGTGGGGTAAATCTGAACCACTAGATACACACAGAAGCTTCCTTTAAAGTCAGTGTTTTCACTGGCCTCAAAAAGAAAGACAAATAATCAGGGGTTAGAAATAGAAACTAGGCAGTAGACTGCAAAAGGATTGATTTGTTTTTTTTTAACATTCTTCCAATCTCCAAACTCCAACTATTAAAAAAAACAGGCAGAGCTGAAAAAAATGACTAAAGTTTTCCCTTTCTTCTACATTTCCCCCAAGAAGTTTAAAATATATCCCTGCAATTATTTATCAACCCTAAAAATTTAACGAAGTAACTCTATAAAAACTGTTTAAGATGTGAAAATGACTTTAAATATTAAAAGACGAGCTATTCATTTTGTCTTTGATTTCTTTTTTTTTTTTTTTTTGAGACGGAGTCTTGCTCTGTCACCCAGGCTGGAGTGCAGTGGCCGGATCTCAGCTCACTGCAAGCTCCGCCTCCCGGGTTTATGCCATTCTCCTGCCTCAGCCTCCCGAGTAGCTGGGACTACAGGCGCCCGCCACCTCGCCCGGCTAGTTTTTTTTTTTTTTTTTTTTTTTTTTTTGTATTTTTTAGTAGAGACGGGGTTTCACCGTATTAGCCAGGATGGTCTCGATCTCCTGACCTCGGGATCCGCCTGTCTCGGCCTCCCAAAGTGCTGGGATTACAGGCTTTGTCTTTGATTTCTAACAAGTGTATGTGGAAAGGACATATAAGGCTTCTCCTTTATATCAGAGCTCTGGGATTCTCCAAAAGAGCCAACTAGAAAAGAGGCCATTTAACCGGGCACAGTGGCTCACGCCTGTAATCCCAGCACTTTGGGAGGCCGAGGCGGGCGGATCACGAGGTCAGGCGGAGTTCGAGACCAGCCTGGCCAACATGGTGAAACTCCACCTCTACTAAAAATACAAAAATATTAGCCGGGGCCGGGCGCGGTGGCTCACGCCTGTAATCTCAGCACTTTGGGAGGCCGAGGCGGGCGGATCACAAGGTCAGGAGATCGAGACCACGGTGAAACCCCGTCTCTACTAAAAATACAAAAAATTAGCCGGGCGCGGTGGCGGGCGCCTGTAGTCCCAGCTACTCAGGAGGCTGAGGCAGGAGAATGGCGTAAACCCAGGAGGCGGAGCTTGCAGTGAGCCGAGATCGCGCCACTGCACTCCAGCCTGGGCGACAGAGCGAGACTCCGTCTCAAAAAAAAAAAAAAATATTAGCCGGGTGTGGTGGCACGCGTCTGTAGTCCCAGCTACTTGGGAGGCTGAGGCAGGAAAATCCCTTGAACCTGGGAAGCAGAGGTTGCAGGGAGCGAGATAGCGCCACTGCACCCAGCCTGGGCGACAGAACAAGACTCCATCTCAAAATAAAGAAATAAATAAAAAGAAAAGAGGCCATTTAGTAAACAGGTATTCAGAGGGCCACTATGAGCCCTGCTCTGCTAGAACCAGATACTACTACTACATTATCCCGGTCATACTCACAATATTCTTAGCCAACAGACAGAATCATGCCCATTTCACAGATGAGGTTCAGGGAAATCAAGTCTCTTGCCCAGTGACAGAGCTAGTAAGTGGCAAGGCTGGGAAGGCATCTCAGAGCTGTCAGACCCCAAAGGCGACTTGAGACCAGGGCCTTCCTTGGGTTAAAGACACACATGACTGGTCTTATCCCAAGCTGATTTGCAAAGCAGGGTCAGGCCTGTCATTTCTACCAGCTCCGGCCCATCTGCCTCCCTGGAATTGCCTTCTTCACGCTACCAGTCCCCACACCTTTGCTCTGCGGCCGCACCCGCCGCGTCGGGTCCCCCAAGTCACAACCACGAGTCTCACTGCAGGGAGACTCGAGAGTGGCCGCGGTCAGATTCCCAGGTCAACTCCAGCCGTGGGAAAGGGAGCCAAGACCAGAGCCCCTCTCCCCAAGGCACGCACTTTGGGAGCTCCAGAAAGCTCGGCCCGCCCCGGAGTGTGGGAGTGCGGAGACGAAAAGCAGGTAGGCCGCGGACCCAGTCACGGGGCGGGGGCTGAGGTCACCGAGAGTCCGCCCCAAGCCTCCCAGCTGGGAGGCGGGTTCTGGTTTCCGTCACCTCCAAGGTTTGTCCGGCTGGGAAAGGACAGGCCCGCGCCTCCCGCCCAGGTGCAGGAGGTGGGGCGGGTGGAGGGGAGTGGGTACCTCGGGGCGCGAAGGCGAGCGAGGCGCCGCCGCCCCCGGCCCGGCCCTCCCGCCGCCCCCTTACTCTGTGATGCGCTTGGCCAGCTCCGTGCAGGCGGCCGTGGAGTTGGCCGAGAAGACTCGGTAGCCGGTGCGAGCGGCGTTCATGGCCGGCGGGGGAGCGGGGCGGGCGCGCGGGACACGGAAAGCCGAGGACGCGGAGAGCGGGGGCAACAGCAGCAGCTTCTTGGGCATCGTCCGGCCCGCGGCGCGGTTACGGCCGGCCCCGCGCGGGGCTGCACCCGGAGCGTTTCCAACCGCGAGACCCCGGTTCGGGTGGGGAAGGCGCTGAGAAACGGCGCAGGCTGGGAGAGCTCCGAGGTCCGCACCCTTGCGTACCCCACACCACGGACTGCAGCTGCCAAGCGTTTGCTGCTCCCAGCGCCGCCGCCTGAGAGCCGGAGACAAGGCCACCGCCCCCTCCGGGCATCCGAGGAATGTCGGCTAGAGCGCCCTCAGGCAGCCATCTCGGATGAGGGCAGGGAGCCGGGCGACTCTCTAAAAGCCTGTTCTGCCGATGGGGCGTGTCACAGGTTCGCTCCACCTCTGCTTTGACCGCTTCCACGGGAGCTCTTTCGGTCTCACCTTCTTGGGAGGAGCATCCTACCTCGGTAGTGGCTCCAGCTGTTTCCAACTTTTTTGGCCAGGACCCAACATGTCCGCCTCCGAGGAGGTAGACGATCTAGCTCTGCATGTCTATGGTAGCACAGTGCCCGACCCCCGAGGCGCGTGCGCCGGCCTGAGATTAATTTGAAAAGTGGAGGGCGGGGTTCTTTCCAGCTGGTTGACCGCAGTACTGAAGCGTCAGTACTGAATACTGAAAGGTGGTGTTCTGCTGAGCCTGATCTTCCAGGCGTTTCCGAACAGATCCCCAACCCTGTGTCTGCGTGTAAGGCAAGATTCCCTGAACGTGCCAAAGGCCCTCTTGCCGGTATTCGCTTTCAATCATAAAAGCCCTCCTTTGGGCCAGGCGCGGTGGCTCACGCTTGTAATCCTAGCACTTTGGGAGGCCGAGGTGGGTGGATCACGAGGTCAGGGGTTCGAGACCAGCCTGACCACCATGGTGAAACCCCCGTCTCTACTAAAAATACAAAAATTAGCTGGGCGTAGTGGCGCGCACCTGTAATCCCAGCTACTCAGGAGGATGAGGCAGGAGAGTTGCTTGAACCCGGTAGGCGGAGGTTGCAGTGAGCAGAGATCGCACCACTGCACTCCAGCCTGGGCGACAGAACGAGACTCCGTCTCAAAAAAAAAAAAAAGCCCTCCTTCCCCTCTTTCCATATGCACCACCCCTCCAAGACCCACTCATGATGCGTCTGCTCCACAATCTTTCTGGGTGACCTCAACCACAGAAGCCACCCAGCCCGCGGGACTGTGCCACATGTAGGTGCTTGCATTTTTTAAATTTTTGTTGTTGTTGTTGTTGTTATTTTGATTCTTGCATATTTATTCACCTTTGCAAACATCTGTTTTCCCAACTAGGATGTAACCCCTTTTACGGCCACATTGTGAGTTCCTTTTTTTTAATTATTATTATTATTTATTTATTTATTTTTTGAAATAGGGTCTCGCTCTGTCGTCCAGGCTGGAGTGCAGCGGCATGATCACGGCTCACTGCAGCCTCTACCTCCAGGGCTCAAGCCATCCTCCCGCCTCAGTCATTCAAAATGCCAACATTACAGGCCTTAGCCATCACGCCCCGCCAAGATCGTGTATTCCTGAGTGCTCCGTGTTTCCCAGTGTCTAGGGCAGTGTGTGGGCTCCAGAGGCCCGCAATCAGTACTTCTTGAAGTAGAAAGTAAAGCCCAGGGAAGCATTTGAGGTCTCTAGTTATCAGCTGCACCAGAAATTGAGGGGAGGAGAGCTGCCTCACACATTTACAGTACCATCATCTGAGAATGTCCTTTAGAGATTCTGCTTGTAGTGACATTGGGTTTGAGGGAGCAGTAGATTGTGACTCAGCATGTCATAAAGGACCACAAGCCTGAAGCTACAGGATTTGGAAGTTGAGCTGCCCTGAGCCTGCAGCAGCCTGGTCCCTATTCCAATAGCTCTCTAGAAAAAAAAAAAAAAAAAAAGGCCTGGCGCGTTGGCTCAACCCTGTAATCCCAGCACTGTGGGAGGCCGAGGCGGGCAGATCATGAGGTCAGGAGATCGAGACCATCCCGGCTAACACTGTGAAACCCCGTCTCTACTAAAAACACAAAAACATTAGCCTCTCTACTAAAAACACAAAAACATTAGCCGGGTGTGGTGGTGGGCACCTGTAGTCCCAGCTACTGGGGGCTGAGGCAGGAGAATGGTGTGAACCAAGGAGGCGGAGCTTGCAGTGAGCCGAGATGGTGCCAGCCTGGGGGACAGAGTGAGACTCCGTCTCAAAAAAAAAGAAGGACAGTGTGTACACAGCCTAGGCCGAATTATTTAACTACTGCACACATATCCAGCTCATGGACCCTGACAAAAATCTTGATACCTTCTTCAAAGTGGGGAACAGGCCAGGCGCGGTGGCTCACACCTGTAATCCCAACACTTTGGGAGGCCGAGGCGGGCAGATCACGAGGTCAGGAGATTGAGACCATCCTGGCTAACATGGTAAAACCCCGTCTCTACTAAAAATACAAAAAATTAGCCGGGCGTGGTGGCGTGTGCCTGTAGTCCCAGCTACTCGAGAGGCTGAGGCAGGAGAATGGCATGAACCCGGGAGGCAGACCTTGCAGTGAGCTGAGACCTTGCCACTGCACTGCAGCCTGGGCGACAGGGTGAGACTCTGTCTCAAAAAAGAAAAGCCAGGGGGAACAGGCTGGGTGCAGTAGCTCATGCCCGTAATCCCAGCACTTTGGGAGGCCGAGGTGGGCAGATCACAAGGTCAAGAGATTGAGACCATCCTGGCCAACATAGTGAAAGCCCATCTCTACTAAAAATACAAAAATTAGCTTGGTGTGCTGTTGCGCGCCTGTAGTCCCAGCTACTCAGAAGGCTGAGGCACAAGAATCACTTGAACCCGGGAGGTGGAGGTTGCAGTGAGCCGAGACCACACCATTGCACTCCAGCCTGGGACAGAGCAAGACTGTCTCAAAAAAAAAAAAAAAAAAAAAAAAAGAAAGAAAGAAAGAAAAAAAGGTTTGATTTTAAAAGAATCATTGATGATGGGGAAATGTTCATGAAGAAAGTGGCAAAATAACCTGACTTAGGCATTATCTGAGTCATATTTTCCTGCATGTCTGAAGAGAAAGAAGGCATACAGGATCATGTTCTGAGGACCTGAAACTCCCTTAAGAGGCTTTTATTATTTTTATTTATTTATTTTTTAAGAGACAGGGTCTCACTATGTTGCCCAGGCTGAACTCAAACTCCTGGGCTCAAATGACGCTCCCAAGCAGCTGGAATTGAGGCTTTTATTATTGAAAGCCTAAATTCCCAAAGGCAAGAACTGGAGTGTCCCTGAGTGCTCCAGCTTTGGAGAAAGGGAGTCCTCACAAGTTGAAGGGACAGTTGGACGAGGAGGTGGCGACTCTAGCAAGTACCCTGGGGACTCTCATAAAGATGAGGAAAGAATGAAGACCAGAGGCTCTCCTTGAAGCTCAGGAACTGGGGTAGGCCCTGGGACTCTTTTATGTACCAGTCCCGGCAGAGGACTTGGAGTCAGATTTGATCTTGTTAAACAGAATTTATGGCCCGGCATGGTGGCTCATGCCTGTAATTCCAGCACTTTGGGAGGCTGAGGCAGGCAGATCACCTGAGGTCAGGAGTTCGGGACCAGCCTGACCAACATGGTGAAAGCCTGTCTCTACTAAAAACACAAAAATTAGCTGGGTGTCGTGGCATCCGCCTGTAATCCCAGCTGCTAGTGAGACTGGGGCAGGAGAATCGCTTGAATCCGAGAGGCTGAGGTTGCGGTGAGCCAAGATCGCCCCATTGCACTCCAGCCTGGGCAACAGAGTGAGACTCTGTCTCAAAAAAAAAAAAAGAGAGAGAGAGAGAGAGAGACTCTCTGAAATAAAGCAACATTTATTTGGGAATTTGGGATTGGGCATGACAATGGGAATATGTGTACCATAGTAAACTATGTGTGTATCCAACGAGGTAAAGGAGGACAAACGTTTTTAGAGGAAGATTGAGGGGGATTACACAATTGTTTGGGGATAATTTTCCTTGGCTACAAGGATCAACAACAAGTGTGACCCAGTGCTAGGTCGTACAGGCAGTTGCTGGGCAGATGTCCTCGCAGAAGTATTTTTTGTGTAAGATTTCAGTGGCCTTTGTGCAAGGTTGTGATTGTTGCTGCGTCTTCTGTGATAGTTTTTGTTACTGGCATTTATGCATAAGAATCTTCTCTTTATAGCCTTCCTAGCTCTATTTGTCAGAGTTTTTTGTTTTCTTTTAACACAAGTGATTCAATTTTGCTTCTGACAACTTTCACAGAGTCTTCATTTTTACTGATGGGTGAGGGATTTTTTCTTTTTTTGAAACGAAGTTTCGCTCTTGTGGCCCAGGCTGGAGTGCAATGGCACGATCTCGGCTCACTACAACCTCTGCCTCCTGGGTTCAAGCAATTCTCCTGCCTCAGCCTCCCAAGTAGCTGGGATTACGGGCATGCGCCACCACGCCTGGGTAATTTTTGTATTTTTAGTAGACACGGAGTTTCACCATATTGGGCAGGCTGGTCCAACTCCTGACCTTGTGATCCGCCCACCTCAGCCTCCCAAAGTGCTGGGATTACAGGCGTGAGCCACCGTGCCCAGCCTTAACATGTCTTTTTTGACGTTTGAAGTGAGACTTCACTTGACCAGTTTTGTTTTTTTACCGTTTGTCTTTATAAGACTAGGCTGACTCTTGAGGCTCCAGACCCGCTGGACACCTCCCGCAAGATTGAAGACAGCTGTGCCTCCACAAAGTGACATTTTGCATCTCCAACCCGATTTCAGTTTTCAAGTTTTAAAAAATGAGCTGCTTGTTAACCGGGCCAGTTTCAGCATGAATTATGGAAAGATCTCCTCTGTACTAGAAACTAGAAGACAAACGGTGGCATAAGTACAGATTTGGCATGAAATATTGTCCAGGAACAAACAGGACAAGACAAAGAGGGGTGTGTTTAGGGTTGCTCAGCCCTGTCCCCAAGGGAGGAACTAATTGGAAGACAAGGTCAGTCTTTGCAAGGAAAGGGAACATTTCAGGCAATAATTCAGAAGTTTTGCATCCACGTTGCACCACTTGAACTTGAACTTTGGAAAAATATGAGGCCTTTCCCTGTTTTCATTCTCCAAACAAGCCTCAGCAAGCTGGGACTGAGTGATCTTTATTTCTAAAAATAATACCAACTTGGATCTCTAAGCTGATTCTCTCTATAGGGTACCAGAAACCATGCTGGGGGCAGGAGCAAAAAACAGGCAGACAGAGCCAAGCCTGCTGGGAGTGACCCTTCCCAGCTTCAACAAGGACAGTGGTAGGCAGCAGCTGCTGGGCTGGTCGCTGGAAAATCCGAAATGGAATCGCAAGGCACTGAGCCCTCAACCCCACCTATGCCTTGGTTTCAGTAGCTCTTGGTGAGAGTCTTTGGAGGCATTTGAGGGTGTCTGAAATGCCCGAACATCACTGAAGACTTTGGTTCAAGTGGAAACCCTCGAGGGGCTTCTAGTGCCT